ACCAGTCCCTTCCTACCTGTAAAGTCTCCATCTCCCACGACAAGTGGTATTCTCTTGACAGCCTTTTCACAGTCAAAACCGTTTCCCATTCAGTTACGCCGCCCAAACTAAATTTCCATCTGGTTTCCCTATGCCACCTATTTTTGCTATTATAACTGTTGTGTCAAATTACGGTCATGTCCAAGAACCTGCGTGTCTAAATCTGCACTTCGCACAGCCCGGTTATAACACTACATTTTGGGTCCATTATGGGATATTCCTGACAGCTTTATTACTTTATTCGTTCGAACCATAACTTTCACACCTGCTGTCTTAATAAAACTTGGCCCACTTAGTGCACGGATTTAGTGAACATCTCACTCGCCTCCAAATATCATCGACCCACCAACTTTACAGCGACAAGCGAAACAAATTTCCCACTGAAAGCAATTACGGTGGCGGCCATCTTGCTTTTCGGAAAATTGCCCAAAACCCCTTTTTCGACCGCAACTAGAGAAATTATCCCTATTTACGATTCAAACTTAATATATAAGAAGCGGAGAACAGCTAAATGCCCTTCTTAAATCTGCCCCAGCACTCATGCAACGTCATCCTCAACTTATCGGCTTAAAAAGCAAAAGTTCCGCCCGTGCGCGCTTCCGCCGCCACAGCTTCGCACGCGTAAAGGCGCCGCAGGCTGGTGAGCGCGCCTCGCTGTCGAACGCCAGCTCCTTCACTAGCGGCGCTACGCGCGTTTTTCAAAGCGCCCCCTATAGTTCCCGCACGAAGTGTATACTCATAGTTTTGTTTAACCCGAGACTGGGGTATTTCGGAAAAGGGACGAGAAGAAAAGAGGCCACAAGGAGGCGACGTCTCAAACACAGCTAAGGATTTTATTCCATCGTATGCACTTTTATACACACCACGTCCACACACCACCAACCAAGTCGACCAATGACAACATAACACCCGGAATACACTAAGCCAAACATAGGCCCAAAACATTACAAAAGAAAAATCTTTTAGCCAGACAAAAGGACAAGATAAGCCTCCGACTACACAAAGTCAACAAAGAACCGTTAAAAGGTTTTTTCAAACTCGCAAACACACGGAACCAAAGGGAAAGAGGGCATACAAGACCTAATTACACAAAGCCAAGCAACAAACCATTAAACTAGCCGATACTTAGTCACCGTAACAAAAAAAAAAGGAAAAAAAGCCGGCAACCGGTCATTCTAACCCGCACTACACATTGAAGGAAAGCGGAAGAGGGTAACCATGAACCAAAATACACAAAGGGGAGAATGCAAAAGTTCCAACCTCAACTACACACTTTCGGTTGCCGGCTTTTTTTTTTTTTTTTTTTTTTTACGGTGACTAAGTATCGGCTAGTTTAATGGTTTGTTGCTTGGCTTTGTGTAATTAGGTCTTGTATGCCCTCTTTCCCTTTGGTTCCGTGTGTTTGCGGGTTTGAAAAAACCTTTTAACGGTTCTTTGTTGACTTCGTGTAGTCGGAGGCTTATCTTGTCCTTTTGTCTGGCTAAAAGATTTTTCTTTTGTAATGTTTTGGGCCTATGTTTGGCTTAGTGTATTCCGGGTGTTATGTTGTCATTGGTCGACTTGGTTGGTGGTGTGTGGACGTGGTGTGTATAAAAGTGCATACGATGGAATAAAATCCTTAGCTGTGTTTGAGACGTCGCCACCTTGTGGCCTCTTTTCTTCTCGTCCCTTTTCCGAAATACCCCAGTCTCGGGTTAAACAAAACTATGGTTAACTTCCACTAGCTCGCCTGCACCCTTACAATTTTTTCACTGTATACTCATAGTTTTGTTTAACCCGAGACTGGGGTATTTCGGAAAAGGGACGAGAAGAAAAGAGGCCACAAGGAGGCGACGTCTCAAACACAGCTAAGGATTTTATTCTATCGTATGCACTTTTATACACACCACGTCCACACACCACCAACCAAGTCGACCAATGACAACATAACACCCGGAATACACTAAGCCAAACATAGGCCCAAAACATTACAAAAGAAAAAATCTTTCAGCCAGACAAAAGGACAAGATAAACCTCCGACTACACAAAGTCAACAAAGAACCGTTAAAAGGTTTTTTCAAACCCGCAAACACACGGAACCAAAGGGAAAGAGGGCATACAAGACCTAATTACACAAAGCCAAGCAACAAACCATTAAACAAGCCGGTACTTAATCACCGTAAAGAAAAAAAAAACGGCAACCGGTCATTTTAACCCGCACTACACATTGAAGGAAAGCGGAAGAGGGTAACCATGAACCAAAATACACAAAGGGGAGAATGCAAAAGTTCCAACCTCAACTACACACTTGAAAGAAGTAACAAGGAATACCAGAACAAACAATATGTCCTGCACCTGTACTGCATCTTTGTAGGCAGCGCACAAAGTGCTGGATAGCTAAAAAAAAACAAGAAAAAAAAACGGGGGGTTTACATCTTGAGGAATTTTCTTGAGCTTTCTCCTAGATGCATTGATGGCTGGCTAATACAATTTCCCATCGACTTAATTCGGACTGTTTCCTTCACTACCCTTTTTATCTCATTTTCCTCTCGATGTATTACCTCCGTTTCCGACCAAAACACCTTACAATTGTTGCACTCAGACACGTGCTTGGCGATCTCCGAGTTCGGTGCCCCGTTTTTTACATTTCTTTTATGCTCGGTCAGTCTGTCATTCACGCACCGCGAAGTTTGCCCCACATGTCTAAAACCACATGCTAAGGGTATCTCATAGACTACACCTCCTTTGCAAGCCACTGACCTGTCCTGATGTTGCCTTCTACATTCCTTTGGAGGTGCAAAGAACGGAGTCATCCTGTTTAATTTGTAATCAGATGAAAACACTACGTCAACTCCAAACCTGTGAGCACTCGCTTTAAGGTTATGCGAAACACTGTGGTAGTACGGGACTACGGCAACCTTTTTACTTCTTTCTCTCGTTGTTCCATTTCTCTCGCCGAAACTTGGGGAGAGCTGCCTCGTGATGAAAACTTTATCATAACCCGCATCCTCTAACCTCACCCACTGCCTTTTGAGGGCTTGGCCTACATAATGAAGACATGACTTCTTTAGAGCGTTTCCGATTATTGATTTGACCACCCCAGCCTTCACAGTCTTTGAATGGCAGCTTCTTCTACTTAAAACTGGCTTTGCCGATTCTTTTCCGTACTCCCAGCACACTCCTTCTTGTACGTGAATACGTAAATCTAAAAACTCCAAAACTCCTCTGTCTGCCCTTCAACAGTAAAGGTAAGTTCCGGTGCTGAGGCTCTCACCAGACTCTCTATTGCTCCCGTATCCTTCCCATGAAAGCTCATGACCACAATGTCATCAACATACCTTCTCACTAAAACTTCACCCGACCCCCAAACTGTCAGCCTTTCTGAGATCGCGTTATCCAAAGAGTTTAAATAAATTTCTGCCAAAATAGGTGCCACCGCAGACCCAATACACACACCCTTCTTTTAAATCCACATGCGTTCCTTGAACTCCACTACCGTGGCTTTAATATAAAGATCCAGGATCGCTAAAAAACTATCTACCGGAATCCCCGTACCCGATTGAAATTTTACCAAATATACGCTCCAAAGCCTCTCTAACCCTACTCATCAACAGCTGTTTTTCAAGAGAATAGTACAGATCTTTAATGTCCATCGAGATCAACGAGCATTGCCTCCCATGGTGAGCATCTAAAATCTGAACAAAATCGTCTGAGTTTCTTAACGAAAGACTGTTTTCCAATCTAGCGAAGTCTAAACCTTTTTGAAGAAACTTCGAAACCATGCTTTGCCACGTTCCGTTCTCATTAATAACCGTGCGGAACGGCATTTCCGGCTTGTGGTCCTTTAAGAAGAATTTTAAACTTAAAGTGCTTCTCGGCTGATTCAGGACTTTCCTGGCTAAGGTCTCTAAACCCTCGTCTTTAAGGAAACAGTCCGAATTAAGTCGATGGGAAATTGTATTAGCCAGCCATCAATGCATCTAGGAGAAAGCTCAAGAAAATTCCTCAAGATGTAAACCCCCCGTTCTTTTTTTGGTTTTTTTTTTTTTTTGTTCTTTTTTTTTTTTTAGCTATCCAGCACTTTGTGCGCTGCCTACAAAGATGCAGTACAGGTGCAGGACATATTGTTTGTTCTGTATTCCTTGTTACTTCTTTCAAGTGTGTAGTTGAGGTTGGAACTTTTGCATTCTCCCCTTTGTGTATTTTGGTTCATGGTTACCCTCTTCCGCTTTCCTTCAATGTGTAGTGCGGGTTAAAATGACCGGCTGCCGTTTTTTTTTTTTTTATTTTTCTTTACGGTGACTATGTACCGGCTAGTTTAATGGTTTGTTGCTTGGCTTCGTGTAATTAGGTCTTGTATGCCCTCTTTTCCTTTGGTTCCGTGTGTTTGCGGGTTTGAAAAAACCTTTTAACGGTTCTTTGTTGACTTTGTGTAGTCGGAGGCTTATCTTGTCCTTTTGTCTGGCTGAAAGATTTTTTTTTTTGTAATGTTTTGGGCCTATGTTTGGCTTAGTGTATTCCGGGTGTTATGTTTTCATTGGTCGACTTGGTTGGTGGTGTGTGGACGTGGTGTGTATAAAAGTGCATACGATGGAATAAAATCCTTAGCTGTGTTTGAGACGTCGCCTCCTTGTGGCCTCTTTTCTTCTCGTCCTTTTTCCGAAATACCCCAGTCTCGGGTTAAACAAAACTATGGTCAACTTCCACCAGCTCGCCTGCACCCTTACAATTTTTTTACCTATACTCACTCTAACATTTAAAGTAAAATTTTTTCCTGCTATAGTTAGTCGTTGATATTTTACACAATCAGGCATGTGTGCTATACCTTTCTGTAGTAGAAACCTGTGCCTTAAAAATTACCGCCTTTCTACCGCACCTCCAGAGGTAAATATTTTAATCAAAAATGGAAACGTACGAGGCTTGAAAAATAAAAATATGTGTGTGAAGGTGACAAGAGGCATTCTCTTTATTGCTCTCTTTACGACAGCAAACGTTGGCAGTGAACATGTCCCTTCTTCAATGACTCCTGGTCGCTGAGTTCTATGGTGGTACGCCTGGTATGTGGAGTTTCTGTAATATAAGGGGTCAATACATTTAATCATCAGGACGCTAGGCTCAGATTAAGCAGTATAGCAAAAATATGTTTAGAGAACTCACACTTCTTCCTGCGGAGGAGGGTGCTGTAGTCACCATAGGTGCCAAGACCGTATCCGTAGTTCAGACCGTAGCTGCCGAGCCCGTGTCCGTAACCGAAGTGGCCGGCACCGTAGCCGAGGGAGCTGACGCCGTATCCATAGACTGGAGCAGCGTGGGCGTAGGATGCGACAGCTGGAGCGGCGTGGTAGGTCTGGTAGCTGGCGACAGCTGGAGCGTGGGCGACGGCGGCAACAGCTGGAGCAGCATGGTAGGTCTGGTAGCTAGCAACGGCTGGAGCGGCGTGAACGGTAGACACCCTGGTAACGGCTGGGGCAGCGGCGTAGGTGGCAACTGGAGCAGCGGCATAGGTGGCAACAGCTGGAGCAGCGTGGTAAGTCTGGTAGCTGGCGACAGCTGGAGCAGCGTGAACAGTGGATACCCTGGTCACAGCTGGAGCGGCGGCGTAGGTGGCGACAGCCGGAGCACTCTGGTAGGTAGCGACCTTGGTGACAGCTGGGGCAGCGGCGTAGGTGGCAACTGGAGCTGCGTGGTAGGAAGCGAAAGCTGGAGCGGCGGCGTAGGTAGCAACGGCTGGAGCAGCCTGGTAGGAAGTAGCCACAGTGCGGCTCACGGCTGGAGCAGCAACGCTGTAGCCGGTCAGACCAGAGTAGCCGAAGCCGTTGCTAATACCAACAGCGTGACCGTAGCCAAGACCATGGCCGTAGCCGAGGCCAGAGTAGCCGAGGCTGCCGTAACCGAGGCCAAGGCCGTAACCAAGACCACCCTGGACGTAGCCAGCGATGGCGCTGCTGGCCAGGGCCAGAATCAGACAAGCACGGAACTGCAGCAAGACAAAAAGAACACAAGGACAAAGTTAATTACTCCAAATCAGATACGACCTCTTCTCGTTTCAAGGGCTTCATCTTAATTTTTAAAAGTTCCAGAACCTGAAACATTGTTTTGTATGAGAAACATATTGATAAGTCACTGGATTAACCTAGTACTTTAAAACTTGGCGACGGCGTAGCTTAGAAAATGTGCCGAGAATTCGCGTGACGCGCCTCGTAGCACGTGTCATAGCGCTTTTGACGAGCTTCTCAACCGCAAACTATCATGTACATGGGGCAGGGCAGGGAGATATCGGGTGTGGGGGATACGTCCACAAATTTGAACACCATCAGTGTCGACTGGCACTTTGCTCATTGCTCGTTAGACTGCGTGGTCTGTACTCGCAGCTGTCGTAATTTCGCTCAAATCGGCATCTGCTATACAAGCAATAGAAGGTGCAATACATACATTGTCTAAATTTTGAACGGAAATTCTATCAGATATCAGATTCAAACTCACCATACCCTTAAAATCTCAATTGTAGTTTTGGTGTTCATCAATCTAAAATAAATGTGCTGTACATGGGAGGAAGTCCGAATTAAAGTGCAAAGGATTACCCTATATTATCTTGTGCTCAAAGAACATGATAAATGTGAGCTTCAAGTTATTTAATTTAAGTAATATTATCAAGAGTGATACGACAAATGCATGCCCCGAAATGCCACAGATATCAGATGGATGCCACATAACTACAATTTTACAGTTCACGTATGAAAATAACATAACATATTTTATATAAGACTGCGTGGCTTGGTTCCGAATCGCAAGGTAAATTAACACAATTTCAAGTAAATATTTAAACTTAGTTGCTATACAAAGTATAGGCATACGAGGAAAGGGCAGTGCCTAGCGTATAAATTTACTCATGAAAGAGTGAATACGCGAGTTCCAAAATGCGCTTTTCCCAAAACAGTGTACTCACTCCGGTCATGTTGTAAATTTACAAGAGAAGTGTCCAGCTGCAATCTTCGATGGAAGGTCTGAGCTTATATACACAAACGGATGGAGCAAGAACGTGATCAACGTCCAATGAGAAAACGCATATAGAGAAAGCATGAAAGAAAGAAGTACGCTATGTGAACATCGTGTTCGCTTATCGTAACCTTGGCGAAAGTACTCAGGTACGTCAATCACGTACACACAAGGAGTTGATTAGCACGAAGCGAGAAAGAGTTATTTGACCTACCAGAAATAACTGGTTTAAAAATTATCGCGGACACTCACCTCAATATTGAAGTCGTCGTCTGTGATGCAATGAGTGGGTTTCATTAGGGTACAAACGGACTTTGATTCGGACGGTATGGTACAGGCGCTATGGTCTTCACTCTCGTTTCACAGGCCGCCGACGTGTGTGTCAATTTTGATGGGACTGGAAATGAAGAAGTATCAGACATAAAAATGCTCACGATCAACAAAACTGGCGTAGGTCGGGCGTGCCGTGCTTGTTCGCTACGATGTGTCAAAATAATAAATTCAACTGTGTGACACTCGTTAGCTGATGTTACGTCGCGAATTAAGCAGTCGTTAATACTTTGGTATGCTTCAAAGATTACTGGAAACGCTTATGTACGGTTATGTCCTGTTTCAAAGCGTACATTCAGACAATCTTTTTTTTTTTTTTACGTAATGTTCTGCAAGGATTTATTACCGAGTGCACAAGCGAGTTGGTGGTACTTAATCATGCCGTTTAACACCTGAGAGTGGTTGAGAAAAGGAAAACTTTTAGTCGAAGGAACAGACACACAAAGGAAATTCTCGACGTTCCCGTCCCGTCTGTGTCTGTTCTTTCGTATAAAGTTTTTCTTTTCTTCACCACGGTCCCAGGTGTTAAACTACATGCTTAACGTTTTTAAGTCAATCGCTGCTTTTTATCTAATTTGAGACATATCACACCCAATATCATAATTGCTCTAAAGGAAAATATTCGAAATATTAACATGTGTTGTTTTCAAAATGTACCCTCAACAACCATAAAGTTTTAGCTTCGTTTGGTGCAAAAATATTCTTGTTTTGAATGACTAGTAAAAGATGCTAATTGATGCTTTGTTTAACTAAGCGAAAAATTTCTTTACCGGCGCCTACTAAGTGGAGGGGCTGGGTCAAATTTATCTAAAGATGCAGTCCTCATACATGCAACCAAATTCTGCGGTGACATAAACATCCTAGAAAACAATCCATTTCTGAGGCAGAGTCCCACTGAACCAATTGGCGTGTTTTTTTCTTTTTTTTTTTTTTTTTTTTGCACTGCGCAAGCGGAGATTAAAGTCTCAGGTTGCACTTCAGAGGAAAACTTATCTTAATCCAAGTTTGGCAACTTGGAGGACGGAACTTGGCCGTTATGGGAATTTTCTACAAGACGTATAGTTATGTTCAAGGCACTTTGTATTGATATTTAACTAGACAGAAAAAAAGTCAAAGTATTACTTTGTCCTTGTTCGCCACAAAAATGCTAAAGTGTCATACATGAGCCAGAAATGTGAGGCGAAACTTTAACGACCATGCACCAAAACCTAACCTTGGTATTTAATTGGGAAATTTGGGCCATAGATGCCATGGGTTAACCTAACCACCACGCAGTAAAGCTTAACTTTGGCGTTTATCTGGCGATATAGTACCAATATATCGTGACTTTTGCCTGTGAATAACAGTTTTGGCTGTACCTTGACTTCTTCGGGCTGGTTCTAAATTCTCTGATAAAAACCAATAAAAACCAATAGTTGGCACAAAGAGCTGTGCCACCTAGGCAGGCCTTTGTGGGTACTCGCTCAATCCTTTCAGATAATGCTTTCAAGTTTTCATTGTCCTATTCCACGTTAAAATGTTAAAGCTTCAATAAAATTCATCTTTTAAAATTTGGAATAGTACTGTGCCACATTCAGTGGGGAGTGCTGTTTTTCGTTCGAGGTGCCGTACATTCATCGGTAGAACAAAAATTTGATTTCCCCGGTATTTTTATCCCTGAACGCCTGTTCATACAAAGAGTTAAAAAAATATATATATATATGGGCCTGGTGTCGGGAGGCCGAAGGCAAAAAACCCTTGGTGAAAACAGCAACAACGGACGATTTATTCTTCGACATTTCGGCCGGAGTACAGATGAACGCGGCTGGTATTTATACAATGCTCCGGTCGAGTCCAAGTTTAAAAAACGGCAGGATGACGGCTGGAGTTTCCAAAGAAGCGTAGGAAGAGTTCCAGATGGGCAAACGTTTATACAATGCTAAGGTCGGGTCCAAATTTTGGCGGGGTGACGGTTGTAGCTTCGTGAGAGGGGGCGCAGGGTGATTTTGTGCCCGGACCCAAAGTCACCCCGTGCCCCCCCCCCCCCTCTCTCAAGAAGATATATATATATATATATATATATATATATATAGTGAACGAAGAGGGGAGAAGGTGATTATTGAATTTATTGCATTAAAGTTAGGGAAAGGAAATGGAGTCGGCCGAAACCAGTGGCCGGGATGGTCTCATCGGTTGAGGCGTCGCCAAGGACAGAAGGTTGCGGGTTCCCCCGCTCCTGGCCCAATTTTTTGCCAACTTTCTTTTCCTTTCCTTTTCCCTAACTTTGATGCAATAAATTCAATAATCACCTTCTCCCCTTTTCGTTTACAATATTACTACGGCTGCACTTGTCAATCTTCACTCATTCCCATTATATATTAAGTCAAAGGTGCGTACTGTCGGAGTTACTAATTCGAAGTTTATTACGACGTTTCGAGCGGAGACCGCTCTTCATCGGCTGAGTCCTTAATCACCTGATGAAGAGCGGTCCCCGCTCGAAACGTCGAATAAACTTCGAATTAGTAGCTACGACAGTACGCATCTTTGACTTATTAACTTTTCCCGGTCCATTGTTCTTATATTTACCTTACTTCATCTATATATTTATGTTTCACATAAAGACGGCACCAAGCGGGCGGCACACTAAGTAGGCATGGAGAGATTGGTTAAGTAGGTAAATGTATGAATGAGGCTGAGGCCTTTGAATCGTGCAAATGTTCCCTTGAGACAAGTCCCAAATTCGCACCGGCAGTTAATTCTAGTTCCGTTTAACTTTTTTTATTTTTTTTTTTATTTACTACGGCTTTTGGTTTCGAACAATAGAAGGAGTGTTACATGTTGAAACATAAAAAAGGCTATCGCGAGAAAACTGTCTAAATTATAGTGTTAAGTGTATATTTAAAACTATTAGGTGAAGAAAGTGTAAGAATATAAGCAACACGTGATTTTATGCACTTGCCTCGCGCAAGATGAAAAATATTTGAAAAAATTGTAATAAATTTGTATTGCTTGATCATGATTCTGAGTCCTTAATCTTGGTCACTCTGCCGGATAAAAAGGCGACATAGTTTGCAACATAAGTAGTCGGTTTACCATCTACTAACTAATATAAATAGATTAATGCACTGTTGCCCTAGATTCTTGCGCCTGAATGTTTGCTTGTTGAAGCAAATGCGATACAAAAATGCGGTTCCCAAACAGGTTAGGAAAAATCTAGCCATTTCTCATCGCTATTCCGTTTGTTCAAAATACCTACCTTGTGATAAATTAAATGTGGTAGCGTACACCATCATTAATTTAAGTAGGAATTTATATGCTGCATGTTTTGCGTCAGTCTGTGCAAATGTAAGCGTTCGCAAAAGAGTAGAACTTCTAGTCTTGTTCTAAGTATAAATGTATATAGCGCTCATTCGCCTTCTAGGCGAATGTACATTTGCTCAAATATTCTCACTAATGACTCCACCAGCTACGCCACACAGTTCACGACAGTCATGAGCGCCCTCCGAGCAATGCTTACTGCCTACTACAAGAAAATCGCCATACTTTACTCGTGAGTTCGCACATTGCACGCACCTATTCTTCAGCCATCCTGCAACTCGAAAGTGTTTACAGCTCCCTTTTGACAGCCCTTTTCGAAGTACTTAGCTCCTCAGAAGGTATTTTCCTCTCAATTTATACAGGCGAAACCGCACCGTCTCAATAGATTGTTTGAAGCCAGCTTATCGTGGAAGAATTTCGAACTCCTACTCTAAACCTACAAAGCGTGACTCTGCACCAAGCTTGCTTGCAAACACACCCCACATTCCGACTTCTTCCGCACAGTTGGTTTCCTGTCGTAAGCCAGAGAGGTTTTCTGATCGCCCTTGACGCTCCGTTATGTGGACGCATATGCTACCGGAACTTGGAACCCTTCAAAGAGCCCATTGCTGAAGGAGAAACACATAAAACCGGCTGGCCACAAAAAAAAAAAAAAGAAGAGCACGAGCGAGGTCGAGCTTGGATACCTCGATCAGAACAGCGATAACTCCGGTACTGACTCGACATCCGTATATCAACGTGTATAAATTTATAAAAAACAAACAAAAAAACGTTTCTTTCGTCACAATATATATATATATATATATATATAACGGGCATGGTGGCGGGAGGCCGAAGGCGTGGGTATAAAACTGAGAAGAAAAAAACCCTTAGTGAAAAACAGCAACAACGGACGATTTAATCTTCGACGTTTCGGCCGGAGTCCGGCCTTCGTCAGGAAGAAGCGTCAGGAAGAAGAAGTCTTCCTGACGAAGGCCGGACTCCGGCCGAAACGTCGAAGATTAAATCGTCCGTTGTTGCTGTTTTTCACTAAGGGTTTTTTTCTTCTCAGTTTTATATATATATATATATATATAGATATATATTACTCTACTTTTTTAATTGTTTGTGGGGTACAAGATGAGGCTATATTTGATACTTTGAATGCCACCTGAGCCCGTAAAATCTATTACAAATAATAGATTAAATCTGTATGTTTAATCTGCCGACTTCAAGCACCATTTTTACGGTATGTTTTATATGCCAAACCAGCTTGAACAGTATGTTGGCAATTGGAAAGTCGTTTTTTTTACATTCGTACCTTTTGAATTGCAATGATCTCTTCGCCTAAAGTATAACTATACGTTTATAGAT